CTGCCGCGATGGCCACCCCGAGGGCGCCGCGCTCGGCGCGCGTCGACTGCCTCGCGGAGCCCCCGGCGGCCGCCGCGGCACCGCCGCGGCGCCGCGGGCCACAGGCCCCGCGCGGCCCTCGTGTGCGCCTCGAGGCCCTCGCACCCCCCCTCGTCAGAGAAGCAAGAGCCACCTCTCAAGGGGCCCAAGGGCACACAAATAAGTAGACACACATCCCAGGATTCCCCACATTTGCCCCTACCTAGGCTCTGCCTAGAAGGGTTCTTACTCTCTTAGCTTAAAGGGGCCGGGCAGTGCAACACGCCCCGGGCGGTTCCCCCAGTCCCCTGGGAGCGGTTCCCCCCAGTCCCCTGGGAACTTTAGCTTTAGCTTTAGCTTTAGCTTTAGGGATGCATCCGTGCCAATGCCTGCGGGGCCTGTTGGACCCAGGAGAAAGCCGTGTCCCTTTAGCTTTAGGGATGCATCCGTGCCAATGCCTGCGGGGCCTGTTGGACCCAGGAGAAAGCCGTGTCCCTCGGATATCAGATTCCTGAGGTCCATTGTTCTCTGTGTGGCGGCCCTTCGGACTCTATGTGGCACAGGTTATGGGTGTGTCCTGCGGTCGACGATCTCAGGAAGGAGCTTTGTGATCCCGAAGTGTTAGAGGCGAGTTCCGAGGTGGACTTAGCCACCGTCTCGAACGACCAGTTCGTGCTGCTCACGAAAGGTATCTTCACCCACCCCTGCGAGCACCTCCCGATGCCCTCCAAAGAATGTCCCCCGATGGTCCATTGGGAAGCTCCTCAGCACGATGATTCTGATGAACAATTATTATCTGGGGATGTGTTCTTCGACGGATCATGTAGGAAGCACGCAATTAAGGAACTAAGCAGGGCAGGATGGGGTTTAGCTGTATATGATAATCACAGGAATTTGCAGTGTGTTATGTGGGCCCCCCTTTGGGACAGGTTCCCCCAGACCTCCCAAGCGGCGGAGTTCGGGAGCCTGGCCTACGGGTCTCTGTGTCTCCTGGGGCCCTCAGAAGGTTTCAGCGATTGCCTTAATGTTTGTAAAGCTTTTCTTTTGGAGAGGCCCAAGCGTCTCTCCTACAAGCGGCCTTATGCAGGGCTGATGATTAATACCCTTCAGTCTAAGTTGACCAGCCTTCACAAGGTGAAGGCCCACGTTGCAGATTCCCCAGATTTAACGGCCGATCAGCGGTATTTCAAACTTGGTTATATTGAGGCCGACAGAGCGGCCAAGCGAGGAGTGGACATGCACGCCATAGGATCTCAGGCTGAGCTGGATTTTGTTGACTGGCAACTCAAAGTTGCCAAGAACGTCGGCCTGCTGGCAGCCCGTATTCTCCCGTCTTGGCCAAGACTCAACCTTGACGGAGTTGATTTTATCGCCCCAGCCCGCGAGGTGGTGCCGCCGCCCCCCCCTGTGGAGCAGTATCATCATGAGTGGGTGTGGTGTGCCACCTTCTGGCGCATGTTATATTGTTGTCATCTCTGCTGCGGGTACAGCTGCGGTGGAAGATTCAAGAAGCTTAGTAAGTCTTGTATCCCAGAGCCCGAGGGGCCCAGGAAGTCAAAGTACGCGTCCTCGGTCTTGAGAGCGCTGCGGAGGGGGAGGCATCCCAGGCTGGCTGGTGTGACTTGTGAAGTGTTCGACCCTGCTGCTGAAGCGAGCGAATCTGAGGCTGGCGATCGGGCCGAGCCTGTCGGGTCAGCTCAGGCCCGCAGTCCGCTTCGGGAGGAGGGTGAGCACGCCCCTGACCAGCCACCCCTTTCAGACAGCTCGGACTGACCTGCGCCAGGCGGGTAAGCTAGTTTAACTCAACCCGAGCTGGCTCGGGTTCAGGGCGCCTGTCAAAACAAATTAGCTTTAGCTTAGCTTTAGCTTAGCTTTAGCTTAGCTTTAGCTTAGCTTTATCTTAGCTTTAGCTTAGCTTTAGCTTATCTTTAGCTTAGCTGTAGCTTAGCTTTAGCTTAGCTGTTGCTCAGCTTTAGCTTAGATTTAGCTTAGCTTTAGCTTAGCTGTGGCTTAGCTTTAGCTTAGCTTTAGCTTAGTTTTAGCTTAGCTTTAGCTTAGCGTTACTGTTACTACTAATGCTGGTTTCCTAGGGATTCCAACTCCTAGGTAGGGTCGCACTGGGATAATTGTTTTCATGTTTTCTGGATTTGCGTCTGCCCCCCCACTTCCCACATTTTCCAATATTTTCCTCGGAGTCGACGATTGATTGTGTCTGTGCTTTTTACCCTCCTGAACCTCGACGGCCGAACGTCTCCTATCCCTGCAGCTGCACATCCGACCTGCCCCACGACGCGCCCGCGAACGCGACCCTCCCGGAGTCCACGTCGGCGGCGGAGCTGAGCAGCTGCAAGCGGCCCTGGCAGCCTGAAAGCATCGGCGTCGAAAATCTTCCGCAAACGAATATTGGCGCAACAGGGTACTGAAGGCCAAAGGCTTCGAGTCACAGGCCAGGCCGAGCAAAGATGGCTTGAGCTAAACAAAATGGCTACAGAGGTGCTCTCGGGCCATCTCGGGGATCTCTTGGGGCCTTTTTGGGGCTTACTTGGAGGTTGTTGGACCGTCTTGAAGCGACTTGCGGCGCCTCTTGAGCCGTCTTGGGTCGTCGGAAGCCCGAAACTGCAAGAAACCAAAAAACCTTCGACAAACTGAGGACAATTTGCGATGTTGGGCCCCCCCAGGACGTCTTGGAGGTTCTCCTGGAGTGCTCTCTGGGAGTTTTGGAAGCAACTTGGGTCGCTGACACACCGAGTGAGCCGTCTGAAACGTCTGGACGACTCGAGGCTACCGTGGATCGTCTCGACGGCTGCCTGATCGCCCGCAGCGTCGATTTGGGGCTCCCGCGCGGAGCCCCCCGTACCTCGCAGTTGTGGTCCAAGTTCCGGCCCCTGAGATCCCTGGACCCGGTCCTCCGTTCTATGCATACACCGGCGCCCGAGGCCTCGGGCCCGGGGGCAGCGCGCTGCTTCGCAACTCCCCCGTCCCCCCACTGTCCGCGTTCTGCCCGGGGCTGGCCGGCCCCTTGCATGACCCCAAGGGTGATGCTGCTCCCATCGTACTTGAGGACCACACCCCAGAAATAATTTCGAGCACCCGGAGAAGTGTCGAGAGAGTGTCGAAACGGTGTCGGACGAGTCTCCCTGGGCCCGACGCGTGAAAGCCCTCGAGTCTCGGTGCTTGGTTGGCACTCGACAGCCTTTCTGGTGATCGCGGCTCAAGCAGGCTGGAACATCATAGCCCCAAGGGGGCCCGTGCAGCCCGCAGACGGGCGAAGACGGCTGCGAGTCGCGGCAGTCGGGCGCAGCGAGCCACCCATGAGCGCCAAGGCCTGCCCAAGCGGGTGCCGCAGGCGGCCCCCGAGCGCTTCGGGAAGACCGCCCTCGGTCGGGGACCCCCGAGAGGACCTGGAGAGGCATGCGCCACTGATTCTTCCTGGGCGCTTGAAGGACTTCGGCGCCCTCGTTGTTTCGAACTCGCGTTGAGTCGGGCCTGTCCTCCTACAGGAGGATTTTGGACGAAAAGCAAAACGTTGCCAAAAAAATACCCCCAAATGGCGAAAAAATAATCAGGTCGTCCCCGGACTATTTTTTGACTACTTTTGAACATTCCTCCTGCGGAGGGACACGCCCGACGTAAAACTCGCGACAGCCCGAGACTTCCCGCGGCCCCGCGAGGGCCGCGCAGATCGCGCTGCCACGGGCCTAGCAGGGCGCCGCGGCGGCCCCGCGAGGGTCCCAAGATTGAGACGGCGGCCGCCGGGGCCGCCCGTCGGAGAGCGGGGGGGCGCCCTCCGAGAGCGCCGGGTGAGCGGATTCTCCCGCGCGCGGCATTGCTTCCCGGTTCCCCTTTTGCCTTGCCTCTGCTCCGTCTTTTCTTCCCCCGCTCGTGTGCGCCGTCGGGGGGAGGGGCGGGGAAGTGGCATGTCCGCCCCGCTTCCCTTTTTTAGGGTTCCCCTTCTCGGGGGCGCGCAGACATGGATCAGCGATCCATGGATTTGGCGCGCGGTCGCCGAATCCATGGATCGGGGGAGGTGCCCTCCCCAGAATGCGGCCGGTATACCGCCTCGCTCGGCGGAACTCCGCGATTTCCCGTGGAAACAGGACCCGTCGCTGATCCACGCCCCCGAAAGAGGATGATGATGATGATGATGATGATGATGAGGAGGAGGAGGAGGAGGAGATGAGAGGAGAGGAGGAGGCGGAGGAAGAGAGGAGGAGGAGAGGAGGAGGAGGGGAGGAAGGAGGAGGAGGGGAGGAGGAGGATGAGGAGGATGAGAGAAGGAGAGGAGGATGAGTAGGAGGAGGAGGAGGAGGAGGAAGGAGGATGAGGAGGAGGAGAGAGGAGGAGGAGGAGGGAAGAGGGAGGAGAAGGGAGGAGGAGGAGTTGAGGGGTGGAGGGGGGGGGGGGGTGCAGGGCGGGGCGGCCGCGCCCGGACGGGGGGCGCCCGCTGGGCAGCGGGAGCTGCGGGCGACGCCCTCGTGGGCTCGTTTTTCTGCGTCGATGTGCTGCTTGAAGAGCCCGAGGACAACTGACTACCTACCAGACCACCCCAACCCAACCCGAAGATCCGAATTTCGGGTTGGGGGGGGCATGGGCTGCATATGTGTTTTGTCGATGTTCCGGGGTCCCCCCACACTGGAAATGGAGGGCAAATTGAGGCCTTCGGGTTGGGTTGGGGTGATCTGGTGGGTGGTGAACAACGGCGTCGTCCCCCTTTCTAGGTGAAGCGCGTTCGCTTGAAATGCTCGCGGAAGCCCTCGACCGTGTCCGCCTTCCTGCTGCAGACTGCGTCGCGCACGAGGTCTTCGCGGCGGGGTCGATCCCCAGCGTCGAGGACGCTGCCGAAGCTGACGGCCAGACAGGCCTCGAGGAGGCAGCAGCCTCGCGAGAGGTAGTCGCGGCCCTCCACAGTGCCGCCGTCCGCGGGGAGTACGATTACAGGACGCCCCCCAAATGCTGCACAGCAGTGCCATCGAAGTGAGCGCCTTCTGGAACGCCGCCTCTGCGGACTCGGTGCGGACAGCTGGATGCTTGCCAGGCTGTGGCCATTGCCCCTCGCGACCCATGCGCTGCAGACCTGAGCCCTGGCCGTCGTGCTGGGGCAGGCCCATCCAGTCGATGAAGACCGCGTCGTCGTCAGAGGCCGCCAAAGGTCCAACTGCTGGACCAAGGTCCGCAACTTCACCCTGGCGGGGTCGGGGTGGGCCTTCGACAGCCATGGGTGTGACACCACGAGCCTGCATTTGGGCTCGCCCCTGGAATCAGGCAGGCCTTCCCTGCCGACGACCACCTCGGCGGCAAGCACCGCCTGGCAGCGCCACAGGGGAGAGCCCTGTCTGGCGATCTGCCGCGGGTATCGACATCGGATCCAGGTCACCTGGGCGTCGTCCAGGTAGGCCAGGAACTCCCTATAGCGCCCTTGCAGCTCCTCGGCGGTGTAGCAGTTGATGCTCTGGAAAGCAGCCACCGCCAGCTGCCGCAGCTCCCGAGGCCGAGCGAGTCCGGAGAGCGCGGCCACCTGCAAGCAGTTCACTGTGCTGTTGATGGCTGAGCCCCAAGCACAGGCTGATGGGTCTGTTTTCCACCACCACCATTATGATTTGGGGGGGGGGGGGGAAGGAGGTGGAGGACGAGGAGGAGGCACGGCCGTATCGCCCCCCAGAAGAGCCGAAGCTCGACTGGGGGGTCCAGGTTCGGTGAACTCCCGCCTAGCCGAAAGCCGACAGGAGGAGAGGGAGGGGGCCCCGCCTAGCCCCGAGGGCCGAGGCGCCTGCACGCCGCGCTCCGTCACGCCGTAGTGGAAGTGGGCGTAGGCGGGCGGCGGGCGCGGGCGACGACACGACGAGGGGCGGGGCCAAAAAATCAGTCAGAGCTGTCATCGTCCCCTCTGGAGGGGATGACACGAGGTGAAAGCTGCCGAGCTCCTTCACCTCTCACGCCTACGGCCCCAGGGACAACGGACAGGCGAGGGGAGGGAGGGCCCTCGACGGGGCGGGAGGCGGCAGGGGAGGCAGCGCGATTATCCTCGCGCCCACTCAGCACGCTAGAGGCGGGCCTGCCCTCATCCGTGGCACGAGAATGGCCAGCGAGCCACTCGCCAGACTTCGGATGCAGGCCAGCCTCGATCCTCCTTATAGCCATTCGCTGATTTGCCTTCGTTGAGGCAACCGTCGAAAAACCAACACACCTGGAGGCCAGCTTCACGAAATTGCCGAGAGTGCCATGCCCACCGCACTTGCGGCAGCAGAAGTGATCACAGTTTTTAAAAACGTCGTGACCGAGGGCCGAAAACTGGGGGAAACGGTCGGGCCCACAGGGCCCCGAGGGGGGCACAGGGGAACACGGGCCCACCACGCCAGCACTGTCGGGCCCCTCGGTCTGACGGCACATCTCGGCCTCCCTCTGGGAGAAGTCCAACGCCACCTGCACGGCCTCGGAACGCATCAGGGAAAACCCCTGGTCGGAGGCGTGTGCCTTCCACCACTCTGAGGCCGCCAGGAGCTGCACGGGACTTGCAACGCAATCTCGCGTGGCTCGCTGTGTGAGCAATGCCTTGAGAGAGCTGAGGCTACGAGCGAACCTGCCACATATGCGGCACCTCCACACAGCGAACTTCTGGCTGTGCCAAATCTCGCGGCTGGTGATCGTAAGCTTGGGGGGAAGGGGGGGAGTGGGGGAAACCAGGGGCACTTCAGGATCACCAGACCACGCTTGGGACTGTAACATCCTCTGGGCGGCCCACGCCAAGAACTTGATAGTGGACTTATGATATTTGTACTCCCCCGCCAAGGCCTTACAGAATCCATCCGCGTAACTGTGGGACTCCGAGCCGAGCTTCGCGAAAAAGTCCGCCCAAAGGTTTCCCGCCCAATGCTCAAGAGAGATGCCTTTTTCGATAGCATCGTCGAGCGAGATGTGGGCGGGGCACCAAACAAATTGGGGGGGGTCATGCTGCTGGTTCCTGAAAATGTCCGCCCAAATCGATGCGTGCTTGGCAAGCCCAGCAGCCTGCTCTGGGTCCCAAGCGTTGCCTTCCCGAACGCTGGCTTGCAGGTCGGACACCACTTTTTTCACACTAGGCGCATAGTGCAGAGCCTGACGTATTGACCACCGCTCCGCACGTCCGATTGTCTGGCGCAAGCCAGGCAAAGCGCCAAAAACAGCACGAACTGGAATTAAATCTGAACTTAATTGAACCGCAGCCCATCCAGCTCGAGCAACCTCAGGGAGACTAGACTGGAGGCAGCTGCCATCAACGAAACAAGTTGGCCCCCACGGGCCTGAAACGTTGCCCCAGTGGAGGACCTGAGGGTGGGCCTCGGGGGGCTCCAAAGCCACAGAGAGCGAGGGGATCCCATACGTGAGGTATGTGGACTCTGCCTGCGGGTTCCCCAAAATATCAAGACAAGAGTTAATTAAGGCATTCCTATGGCTCAGAATCTCGTCGGGGACCTGCTCGCCAATCGCGTCGATTCCGTCCATCACCAAGCCCACACAGTCGTACCAGATGTGCCCGTAGGAGCCCACGGGAGCCTGACACACACGACATTCGGGGCCTATGCGGTATCCCTGGGCGGCACGCACACTGGGCAGGGGAAAAGCATCAGCCATGACGGCCGAGAGAGCACCAAGCTGCCGCGGACAACGAATCGCTTGAAGACCTCCTCTCAACGCCCTGTGCCAAACCTGCTCGGTGCCCTGGGACGTAGGCATGTGATGGAGCAGCCTCCGATGCTGCCACCTCTGAATCCCTTCGATCATATGTAGCTTGACGTCGTACGGGCAAGTCTTGACTAAGTTAATCGTGCAGTTAGTGTCCGTGAGGAAAGTGTGGGCGCTGGTCATGGCCCATCCGATACGATGCAGGGAGAGCCAGCAGGCCGACATGGGCCCCTTCGCGATCTGCCAGGTCGGGTTGTCGTCGAGGTAGCAACGTAGTTTGGCCCAGGCCCTCTGGGCCCTCCCAAGACACACTCTTCTGTCCCAAATCCAGGCCGCGTAGCGGAGGCATATGGTGAGCGTGCAATCGAAGATGGGGTCGTAGAAGGGGTCGCGGTGAGCGAGGAGATACGCTGTGACCCCACCATGCTTTTTACCCCCTGCGAGGGTAGAGGCCAATTGTCTGAAATACCGAAGAGACACGTCAGAAACTCCAGACACGCCGCCACCATGCCCTGCGGCCGGTAGCGCTCCTGTTCTGAACAAGAGCGAGGCCTTGCGCCCGACGGCGCTACGCAGCGCCATGTACTTGCGTCGGCGCTGCTGCAGGGACTTGAGGCGTGCCTTCTCCTGGAGCCTCAACACTTTGCCACCAGCCAACTCATGCCCCAGGTTACGCATCCATGGCCGAAATTGAAGTTTGAGCTGCGCAGCTCCTTGCCGAAATAACCTCTTGGCCCTTCCTGAGGCCGCCACGATACCAGACTTCTTGGGCTGGGTGTTCAGCCCGAGCAGCTGGGCATCGCACCTGAATATCCGTACCGCCTTCTCAAGCTGCGGCAAGGTGTCGGGCGTCTTGGCGACCAACTGCAGTGACACGTCATCTACTAAGGCTCTCGGAGTCACGCACGGGGCAATCTGGTTGAGGCGCTTGAGCGCCCGAAAAGTCAGCACGTACAGCATGCCTGTGGCATGGCTGCATCCAGCGAAGATGCCTTGGAAAGCCTCGAGGGACTCGGAAAGACTTCCGAATGCCTTCAGACGCCGTGGTTGCCTGTACAATTCCACGAGCATCCACACGAGGCGGGGCGGAAAGCTGACGGCCTCTGCCTCTTTGATGAGTTGGGCAGGGTGAATCATCTCAAAGCACTTAATCATATCCAGCAAAACTGAAATTGAGATCTCACCGAGCAGGGACGCTAGCTCCGCGGACAGGTTATGCGCGAAGGCGCTGTCCGTGGAGCTGTGCCGCTTCCTGGTGCCCCAGATCTCGAGACAACCATGCGACTCCTGCCAGCTACAAGTGACGGACTTCCTAATCTTACCCCACACTCGGCATAGGGTGTTGATGAGGGCTATCAAGCGGACTCCCCCATCAGGCTTGGCCAAACGCACCAACTCCGTCCAAACACGATCGTTTGGCCAAGCTAGCTGGGCCTCGCATCCGTTGAGCAAAAACGCAATGCCTTCGTAGGCGCCTTGACTGAGGTGGAGCAGAGCCCTGGGCGCTATGCGCGAGGGGCCTGCAGCCGTGCTGATCTTAAATTGCTGGATGCAATCCTCCACCTCAGAGGCAGTGATGCAAGGGAGTGGGGGCCAGGCGTGGGCCCCATCGGGGAGCGGAAGCTTGGAGCAACCGTGGGTCCGCCAGATGTCAGCCCATGGCTGCATCTCCTGATCAGCAAGCTGGAAGGGTTGGGACTTGGAACCAGCAGCAATGACCTCTTGGACCGCTCGCACCTTGCTGAACCTATGGGCCTGAGAAGCTCCTCGCTGAAAGGCTTCTCGGGCCCAGGCCAGCCAGGCAGAGCTCGCGGCGGCTTCGGCAGCCCCTATCTTGGCCTTGGCGGTGAGATACACATGCGTGAGGACTTCAGCAAAATCCGCTCTGGCCAGGACGGCAAACCCCGACTGAAAAAACTGGAAGAACGATCGTCGAGCCTGGCCAGCACTTTTTTGCACGCACCGACCTTGATCATGAAATTGGAGGCCTCGGCTAGCGCACGCAGTAACTTGAAATGCTGGTTGGGAGTCAAATCACATATGGCTGCACACTCCTGGAGGGCTGCCACCTCCTTGGCGAGAAACTGCCTGCATTTGCCAAGGTGCTTTGCCCAGCCCAAGGCCGTGGCCCAAGCCTTGGTGCTGGGGTCCTTGTACGTGCGAGCCTTGGGGGGGGCCCACGCCAGTTTTTTCCACCTCGTTCTGGGCGGGCCCGCTCTCCCCAAGACACCAGACGAGCAGACCTCCATGCGGTCCCATCTAGAGGGCAGCTCGAATTCGATCCCCGAGATGACCAGGTCCCAGAGCCCCGCGAGATCACCATGGGCCAAAAGCTTGGGGCCCGCAACTTCCAGCACGGCCGTCCAAGGGTATACAGGGGGCCTCGCGCACCCGACAGGGGGCACCGCAGGGAAAGGCTTGGGCTCATCGGGGACTCTGGCCCACATCGGGGTATCAGACGCGGCGAAGCCTATGGAGATGGGGAGGTGAGGGTAAGTGGAGGCCTCCTCATCTACCAAAACCTGCTTGTGCAATCGAGCCGCTAGCATGCTGCTAGCCACGAAGAAATCAATAAAAGAGCCAGGCTGAGAGTGCCTGCAGCTGGGCAGGGCAGAAACATATGCAAGGGCACTCACTGCCTCCATCCAGCCTGACTTGTTGAGCTCGTCGGTCTCCATGTTCCAGTCCGCGCAAATGATCCAGGGCATCTGGAGCGCGTTCAGCCTGCACACGTATTGCACGAGGGCCCAGACATGCGAGCAGTTGGTCGCACCAAGTCCCTCGCCATCCTTGAGGTACACCGAGATGACCACAAGTCCTCCTGGCAATCCCCATCGCACGTGGCAGGCCACAGCGCGTCCTGGAATCAATATGTGGCTGTCGCACTGCGGCGGGGCCGTGGCCGTGATGTGCGAGGGAACCAAGACAGCCACTCCACCTGTAGTGCCAGCGCCACTATCACTGCGTATGGCCGGTGCCCACAGGCCTTTCCAGCCCGCGTCGAGCATGGCGTGCTGCTTGTCAGCCAAGTGCTCCTGGTCTACATGCGTCTCCTGGACAGCCATGACCGAGCACTCCGCCTGCACCGCGTAGTCGACGATAGGCCCGAACGAGCTGCCGTTGAGCGAGACGATACGCGGCATGTGCCTAATGGATTTCGAACTTGATGAGGCAAAAGGTTTGGACGAGGAGGCGGTACTCGTAGGTCCGCGCGTGGCCGAGGTCGAAGAGGTACTCGCAGGCTCCCCTCCAGCCGATCCCAGGCCCAGAGAACTCGCACGGCGGTCCTGGCCCACTGCCGAAGCAGAACACCAGCCTACCGAGGGTTCACACACATGGCGGGGGGCAGCCTTCGCAGGGGGCCCGCAGCCCGTCGAAATCGACAACGATGACGAAGCTGATGGAATGCCTGCCGCCGCAGGCACCGTAGGCGTCGCACACGTAGGTAACTCGCCGTCCATCACCAAAATACTTGAGTGTCCCGAAAGAGCGGGACTAGGGTCGTCGATGTCCAGAAACGGATCGACGTCCGAGTCATCCAGGTTGGTGCACTGAGCCGTCATCATTGCGAGGCAAAGTAGGATGGACACGGTAACGAGATGGGAGACTTGCCGCTCACTTCGCGGTGGCCTTGATCTTCTTGGCGAGGCTCTGGGCGCTGGCCAAGTGCCTCTTGAGACGATCACGCAGCACAGGAGCTTCGTCGTCATCATCCACATCGCCAGGCGCGGGTACCTCAAGCCCGCAGCTACGAAGGTGCTCACGACAAGTGGGCGCATCCATCTCGTCGATGTGCTTGTGAGCATCTTCTTCTTGATCGACGGCCATCTCCTCATCATCCTCCTCGGCCTGGTCCTCGGGCTCAGCTGCAGGAGGTGGTGGCTGCTGGGCTGCTGCTGGTTCCTGCTCCAACTTAGCGACCAACTCCGCCATTGCCTGCATGCCAGCAGCGAAACGTTCAGAGCCACCAAGAGATTGCAGCACTTCGCCCAGCTGAGACACGGTTGTCTTGAGGCCAGGGATGACGGTACTGAGCGTGGGCGGCTTCGCCTCACCTCCGACAGGAAGACCACGCGCCACGATGTCTCGAAGCTCGTTCTCCAGGGAGAGCAGGTTGGTGGCCGCCTCGGTCTCAGCGGCCTCAGCCTTGGCCAGGGCGTCCTTGGCCTTCTCGACAGCATCCCTTGCTGCCTGGACCTTGGCAGCACAGTTTGCCTTCTTCTTGCGAGCTTCGGTAACCTTCCGATTCTGGGCAATGACATTGCTCTCAAGTGGCTTCTCGGACTGCAATTGCTCCTGCAAAGCCGTGCGCTCCGCCAGCAGCTTGGCACGGTAGTCAGCGTCGGCGGTCCCCAGGGACTTGAGAATGTTGCCAATCTCAGCCAGCCGTGTGCGCCGTGCAGCCTGAGGACTGGACTCAGTGGCCCAGGGCGGAACAGGAGCGGATGCGGTGCCAGTGTCGGCCGCAGGCTGCTGCAGCTGCTGCAACTGGCGTTGAAGGTCGGCAAGCTGACGCTCCAGGGCAACCTCCCGCTGAGACTGCAAAGCAGGGCTGCGCACCACTGGGACCTTGGGCTGCGGCACCCCTCCGAACGCCGACCCCTTGGGCAAGTTGCAAAGCGCACACCACTTGTGATCAGCCCGATTGATCCAAGCAGTCCCAGTGGGCTTGTGCACGCACCACTTGCACTTCCAAGGCTGCGCGTTCTCGACACGCTGCTTGGGCCCCATTGCACAGAGCAACACACGAGAAGCACAAGCCTCCGACCAGCGCACGGCCTAGTCGTGGCGACGAAACTGGGTGAGGGAGCCCAACCCCTCGGTGAAGGCGAAAGAAACGTCGAGCGCAAACGCTCTGGCACTGCCGCGGACTAGCGGTATCCGTGAATGCCAATACGGGCTCAGCCCGCAACAGCATGAGCCTTGAGCCAAAATGGCTACGGAAAGGGGAGGAGGAGGAGGAGGAGGAGGAGGAGGAGGAGGAGGAGGAGGAGGAGGAGGAGGAGGACCCCCCGTCTGTCTTTTCTGCGGCACCTCCCAGGCCGCGTCGACGTCTGTGCTGTCCCCGGGGCCCGAACTCGCGGGCGACCGCGCCGTGCACGGCGCACAGGCGGCGACGCCCGGATCTCGGGGCCCGCCGCCGCCGTTGGCGGCGTCGTCGCCGCACGTGCGGCACGGTCTGGCGCCGCACGGCTCCCGTCGGCGGCTCAAGCCGCGAGGGCGAGGTGCCGCGAGCAAGGGGAAGCCACCCCTCGGATGCCTTCCCTTCCTCTGCAGGCGTCCTCTCACGGCAGGTGCGGCGAGCGCGCCCCCTCCGCGTGTTTGAGCTTCTTTGAAGTGGGCAGTTTGCCCCAGGAGCTTCGCCAACTTTTCAGGAACGAAGTCGAGCCGATTTACGCCGTCCGATACGGAAGGAGGGAGGAGGAACAGGAGGGAGGGAGGAGGAACAGGAGGGAGGGAGGGAGGAGCAGGGAGGGAGGCAGGGAGCAGCAGGAGGGAGGGAGGGAGGAGCAGGCAGAGAGGGAGGCAGGGAGGGAGAGAGGAGCAGGCAGAGGGAGGGAGGGAGGGAGGGGGGGGAGGAGCAGGGAGGGAGGAGGGACGGAGCAGGATGCGGGAGGGACGAGCGGGAGGGAGGGAGGAGCAGGGAAGGAGGAGCGGGAGGGAGGGAGGGCGGAGCCGGAGGCGCGGCCAGCAGCGCGCGCACCTCCCCGCCGCCCGAGGCAACGCCAGCATGTTCTTCTGACTCCCCCGGGCGGTGCCCCGCGCGCGGGCGCTGCGCTTATGTCGGGCCTGTCCCCGACGAAAAATTCAGAATACCCCAGAAATAGTCAAAACATAGTACAAAAATAGTTTGGAGAGCATTTTTTATGAACTTGTGACCTTTTTGGGGCATCTTGGGGGGCATTCTTATGTTTTCATCGAACATCCCCCTGTAGGGGGACGCGCCCGACATAACGCTGCGCCGGGGTGCTCCCGCCGCGAGCGAGCCCTCCGGGCGGCGGGCGACCTGGCCAGCCGCGGCTCCTCTTTGGGAACCCCCAAACCGGGTGGTGAGGTACCGGGTGGCGACCTGGAATCCCAAAAAAGGTCACCGCTGGGCCGGGGGACACGGGGTCACCACCGGGTTTTGTGACGCCTGGACCCACCAGTGTCCGGGACATCCTCGGAAAACCGCACGAGTCCCTAAACCGGGTGGTGACACCAAATCGCCCGAGACTCACCGCCAGGTGTTGTCACCACCACGTTTGGGGACTACCAACCTCTGCTCGGGCCTCGGCGCTCGGCGTCGCGCCCGGCCCGCCCGCGGCCTCCGCGCGCTGCGGCGGGGCTCGCGCGGGAGCGGCCTGCTCGCCGCCCGCGGCCGCGGGGCGGGCGCCCCCCCCCGGCCGGGCCCCCGGGCCGTCGAGGCACAACTTCGGGACGGAGAGCCGGCGCCGCCACCCCCTCCTACTTCTCTCCTCCTCTTCCCCCTCTTTTCCTCCTCCTCCTCCGCTCCTCCTCCTCACCTTCCTCCTCCTCCTCCTCCCCCCCCTCCCACCCCCTCCTCCACCTTCTCCTCCTCCCTCCCCCTCCTCCTCCCTCCTCCTCCTCCTCTCCTCCTCCTCCTCCTCCTCCTCCTCCCCTCTTCCCGTCCTCCTCTTCTTCCTCCTCCTCCTCCTCCAGTGGTTGACGCTGGGACAAAAGTCGCGACGTCGGGGGTATGGGCTCGGACGTGTGCACGCGTCGCCGGCGAAGCCAGCGCCAGAAGGTCTGGGCCATCTCTTGGATCCGATCCCTGGATCGGCTCGAGAGAGGAGGGCCACGCACGAGGCCAAACGAGGCACGGGGAAGGGACGTCCGAGCGATGGCCAGGGGTGGGAGGAGATGGGTTGGCCTTTGGACAGCTGACGAGTCAAGGAAGCGCAGGCATGGACGGGGGTGCGCGGATTCGCGGCGGGTCCCCTCTCCGTGCAGCACCGGGGCGCTCCGTCGCCAAGCTTCGGCGGCACGGACCTCGTGCTTCGGGGCGTGCTTTTCCCGTTCCGTGGCTTCGGCGCCCACGCGCCAGATCCACGGATCCGTAATCCATGTTACAGCTGGGGCCCTGAAGAAGGAACCCTTTTCGTTGGGGAGGGGCTCCGCGTTCCTTAAGTGTTTCACAGGTTGCCTCAGGCTTGCTTCAGGTTTCCAACAGGAAATCGAAGGTTGACTCATGGAAAAAGGAGGCCTCGTTCCGTATTTGGAGTTCCTGAGGTCAACGCCCCGACTGTATCGTGCGCCAGATATCTGGACGTGTCCAGAGGAGACGAGGAGGGCGTTCGAGGTTGAATTCGAAGTTCTCGCGCGTTTTCGCCGGTTCCCCTTCCCCAGACCCCCGACGTCATGATTTTTTCATGACGCGACCCCCAGAGGTCCCGACCCATTCCCCGGGACCGGTTTTTCGTCCTGAGTCGTTTTTTGACGGTCCCGAGGCCCGGCGAGGGCCCCCGGAGGCCGAAAATAGCGAAAAACCTCCCGTCGTGTTTTTTTCACGACGCGAGGAGGTCTGGGTCGGTTCTCATCCTCGGGATGCCCTCCGCAGCGCCTCGCCGAGGGCGCTCCGGGGGCCCGGGTCGTCCCGCACGGGCGCCGGAGGCCTGGGTGAGTGACCCGCGCTGCCAGACGACGAGGATCCCTCGGGGGTCGGGCGACAGGGGGGAGGGAAAAGCACACACAGACACCATGAATCGTCCACTCCCCAGAAAGGATGGGAAAATCTGGGAATGGAAGTGTGCCCTGACTCCAGATCCGCCCTACTTTGGCTTTTTTTTTTTTTTTTTTTTTTTTTTTTTTTTTTTTTTCTTTTTTTTTTTTTTTTTTTTTTTTCTTTTATTTTCCTTTTACTTTTCTTTTTTTTTACTTTACCCCTTTTTTTTTTTTTTTTTTTTTTTTTTTTGTTTTTATTCTTTTTTTTTTACGTCCTTTTTTTTTATCACTTTTTTTTTTTTTTTTTTTTTTTTTTTTTTTTTATATTTTTTTTTTTTTTTTTCCTTTTTATTTTTTTTTTTTTTTTTTTTTTTTTTTAGTTATTTTTTTTTATTTTTTTTTTCTTTTTTTTTTTTTTTTTTTCCAACTTAAAGTTGCGTCGGAAATCCACCTATAAGGGGCCGAACAAGAAGGGCGGAAATTGCTGCACCCAACATAAGATAGGGCGGAAACCCACAGAAACAGCAACAGAAAAGTAGGGCGGAAGCTGGCATCAGCGGGGCTTGAAAAGTAAGGCGGAAATTCCAAGCCCTACTTACGAATTTTCCCAAAGTAGGGCGGATCCGAAGTCAGGGCACACAGACACCATGAATCGTCCACTCCCCAGAAAAGGATGGGAAAATCTGGGAATTGAAGAGTGTGGGGGGGAAGACGAACACCCAGGAAGTGCGAGAACGTGTGGGGAATCTGTTTCGTTGTGTGTGTTTCTTTGTGGGTCTCGGGGCCCCTTCAGAAAGTGGGGAGGGGAAAGGGGAGGGGAGGTACGAACTTTGCTGCGTGCAGCTGGTTGCGGCCCCGCCGACGGACGCCTTCCTCGGCACCAACTGGCGCCACCGACGCTGCGAGGCGCTGGAGACAGCAGGCCTTGACGGCCCCGGGCCCAGCGAGGGCCCCCAGAGGCCAACGGCGGCGCGCAGAACACCGCACGCAGTCCTGCTTCGCTGCGCTGGAGCTCCAGGGCCGTCGAGCGACGTTGCCGCCGCCGTCGAGCGGCCGCCCCCGGGCCGAGCCTGCCCAGAGACGCCGCGGCGGCAGCGGCGCCAGCGGCGGCGCCAGCGGCGGCGGCGGCGGCAGCGGCGACGGCGCGCGGCTTCGGGCGGCGGCGGCGGCGCGGCGGCGGGGAGCGCGAGCCTGCCTCCGTCCCGGACGGTGCATGGGACGCGGCGGGTCGGCGCCCGGCGCCAGGGCGCCGGCAGCGCCGCGGCGGCCGAGCCGGCGTGCGCGGCGCGGTACGCCGGGCGTGCGGCGCGGGCGCTGTGCGGCGAGGCCGCGGCGCGCAGGGCAGCGCCGCGTCGGCGGCGGCGGCGTCGGCGGCGGCGTCGGCGGCGGCGTCGTCGAGGTTGGCGTCGTGGTCGTGGTCGTGGTCGTGGTCGTGGTCGTGGTCGTGGTCGTGGTCGTGGTGGTGGTGGTGGTCGTGGTCGTGGTCGTGGTGGTGGTGGTGGTGGTGGTGGTGGTGGTGGTGGTGGTGGTGGTGGTGGTGGCCGTCGTCGTCGTTGTTGCGCTCCCGCCCGCTCGCGGGAGCGCGTGCGGGGGGGGGCAGGATGAGAGGTCGTCGTGGTCGGTGGTCATGGCCGTGAGGGCAGGTGTGCTTGTGTACCGCGCACGGTGGGGGCGCCGGTTAGTTAAAGGAATGTGCCCAGGAGGCTCAGACCCTGCAGGATCCCTTACAGTCGGGGCCCTGAAGAAGGAACCCTTTTCGTTGGGGAGGGGCTCGATGTTCCTTAAGTGTTTCACAGCTTGCATCAGGTTTTCCTTATGTTTTCGACAGGAAATCGAAGTTTAACTGATGGACAAAAGGGGCCTCGTTCCTTATTTGGGGTTTCTTAGGTCAACGCCCCGACTGTACCGCGCATGGTGGGTGCGCCGGTTAGTTAAGGAATGTGCCCAGGAGGCTCAGACCTTGCAGGATCCCTTCTCTGATGAGGGTGGCGTGGGTGTCCACGGCCAGGCCTCGGTTGCTGTCCCACCAGCTTTCAGATCATGGATCCCTCATCCAAGGGCGCCGC